ACACACACACACACAACCAGTTCTCCTTGGCCCGCTGAAGCTCACCCGAGATTGCAAGTACAGGCCCTTCAGGGCTGGTCCTGTTGGCCCAACGGTCCACCAAAAGCTGTGCCAACAATTTTCAGGGGTCCACCAGGCACTGGAAAATCGCCTGGGGACCCCAATTTTTTTTGTTCAATTTTCTAGAAATGGGGCCCAACCGGCGCCCCCAAACCGGACACCGGATCTGGACATCCAGACCGGACCGTCTGGAACCCGATCCGGACGTCCGGTTAACAAACCACGCTTAAACTCCCAACATTCCTGTCATAATAGAAGCTCAAGAACCAATAATCATGACATATAATCTACAATTTACTCCATAATGATTTCGAATGACCTTGGGACTGGTCACCTGTGGATGTATCTCAAGACTGCCGCCCTTTCAAAGAATAGGAAAAGTAAAATAAAAAACGACGATAGAAACGATGATATAATTAACTGAATGGCAGTGAATGCCTCTTTTTTCCCCCCCCTTTCTTACAGTCAATACAGCTCGACAGAAGTCAGTGATGATATATTAATAACTTAATAACTGATTTCAAGGCTTTTCTATGACAGATTTAAAGTTCTTACAGTTTGAATAGAACGGAAAGGTTGCGGTCAAAAGGCTGCAGGATATTTGCCTCTGGATATTTATTTGCCTGTGGATTTTTATTTGCCTCTGGATAAGACTTGCTGCCACTATGTATCAGTAAAGGGGGTTGGCTTCTAAGAAAGCAAAAGTTTATCGGATTCTAAGAACGCACTAAGTCTTCTAATAATAGCTAAAGACGAGAGCAAGCTGATCTGGGTCTGTGCTTAGTTCCTCCCGTGATAACCGCGGCCTCGCCGCACCAGTCGTTAACTCCATACGAAAGCAAAAGTTATGCCGGTGTACCTTCCCCCATGTTCTAGCTCCAAAGATTTGTTCTCATTTTGCAGATTCGGTGAGTGGTGCAGCGAGGCCTGGTGTGATGGGAGTTGTTGCATGCCTGCCGACCAAATGCGTTTATAAAGAAGTGGTGTGTCTCAGCAACTTTTTTTTTTTTTTTTTTTTTTTTTTTTTTTTTTTTT